TTTATTACCGATAAAGCTTCTCCGCCATTAGCAGATTATTTCTTTTACAGATTTAGAATTAATCAAGCCAGAGAATGAGTATTATATGATGAAACTCTGTCTATATGAATACATTTTAAAGAGATATTCCTTCTGTCTGTGGCCAGTCTCGTCAAAATATCAAAATTAGATCGGGGAGTCGCGGTGGCTCAGTAAGTAAGGTGCTGGCTTACTAACAAGGGATCCGGAATTGTCCGGTGTAGTTTCCCCTTGTTAGTGGGTGCAGGGTGGAGAGAGAGAGGGGGGGGGGTATGGTCATTTTGATATTAAGCTATTATTATTCAATACTACCTTTGTGCGCAGGGCTCTTTATACGTAGGTGGAAATCGGAGATAAGCATTGACACGTACAAGCGTTGTACCCCGAAACAAGAATACTTGCATTAACGTCAAACCATATGATCTAAGCGTTGGGGCAATTGGACACACATAATCCACATTTCATATAACTTTAAGGTATATATAAGCCCAAATTGTAGTAATATTTGAAATAATTTGAAACTTTCGGCGTAGTGTCTCTTGAAAGCTTTTAACACAAGTTGAAAGGTGTAATGCTGATGAATCGATGCTGAACGCAATATTAGTATAAAGAGTAAAACAGACCGTAGAAGCTAGATTATATTCTCCTTCCTTTAAATTAAATTTTGTATCATTTTTGAACCACATCGATTTATCCTCGAGGTTTTTCAGTTCAGTGCTGGTCTTACTGATGGATAATACATCTGTAAAATCGGGGTATTTAGAGATTTAAACAAGCTGATATTGGATGGAAGTGAAGGGATTAAAGGTTTTTACAAACCTTCTATAAAATATGATTTAATAATGACCAAGCTGAGGAAACATCAATTATCTTCTAACAAAGTATTAACTACTGCACGATATATATATATAGTGAGCATATGCTGCTATCTTCCCAACACGTTACTGATGTGAGAACTCTGAGAAATCTAGAATTCGTATAATTTATGTGGCAATGTCAGATATGATATTTTTTTTATTGTCGCTAATTAGTATCGTTTTTTTTTTATATAGTAAATTAGTGTAAACTACTGCACGATAGTGGGTATATGCTGATAGTGGGTATATGTCACTAAGACATGAATTGTGTTAAAACTGAAATGTTAAAGTCGTATCTGTGGCAATGTCAGATATGATATTACATTTTCGCTAATTGGTATCTTACTGATGATGAATGACGGTTAGTGAAATATAACTGATCAGGAAATATAACCAATGACGAATAAGCAATGATTTATTATACTTGATTATGAATAACTAATGATGGATAGGTAATGGTGGAATATTTGGCGATGATGACTAAGAAATGATGAATAAGAAAACATGAAGTATAACCGATAATGAACAACTAATGATAAATAACTAATGATGGAATATAACAAATGACAAATAAGCCATAATGAAATATACCCGATGATGAATATTTAATGACGGCAAAACAATGACGAATTAGTCATGGTGAAATATAAATGATGAAAATATATGGCACTTGATTAGCAACTAATTTTACATAAGTAATGATGGATTATAACTAACGATGACTAAGTGATGATGACTGAGTAATGGTGACTAACTAATGATGACTAAAAAACGATGGCTAACTAATGATTGACTGTAATAAATGGTGAATAACTAATTATGGAATATAAGTATTGATGTATGGCTATCTAATAAAGGAATAAACCTGATGTTGACTAGATATTGATGGAATATACATGATGCTGACTAGATATTGATGGAATATACCTTATGCTGACTAAGTATTGATGGAATATACATGACGGAGTCTAAGTAATGGTGAAAAAAATTGATGATGGACAATTAGTTATAAATAAGACAGTAATGATAACTATATAACCATTGATGGATTATAATAAATGAGGAAAAACTAATGATGAACAATTAGTTATAAAAACTAAAGATGATGAATAAGTAATGAAGAAATAAAACTGATGATAAAATATAACTGATTATGAAAATGTAATAAACAGACTGGTCTTCGGTCTTTCTTGGTTGTTTCATAAACACCATTTAATTAGGGAATATTATGGAACTAATGATTTTAAATTCAAAATTAAATTTATAATCTTATTTGAGTGCTATACAGTAGAAAAATCAATACCAATTGTCAATTCTTTATATTCACAAATCTTTAATATGAACGAGTTAGAATTAATATGAATTATAAGAATTTGATTTAAAACCCCCACGCGTCAGCTGTTTAAAGTAATTATAAAATGTGTTGTAAATGTTGAGGTAATTTGATGAATGATATTAATTATTAGCCGCTAAGCTGTCTCTGATAACACAGTGAAATAATTGAAGTGAGCAGCTGAGTAAAGTATTTAATAGATTGTATTTGTAAATGAAACGGAATGAAATGGATATTCTTTAAGTGGCATTTTGTCTATATATGTTGCTTTAAATTTTGTTATATTGTATTAGCTTGAAAACGTTGAGAGGATACTCTTCGAAACGTCGCCTAAATAAATCAGTAGCTGTTTTCCATAAAGTATGTTTATAGTTTAGGAATGAAATGAAGTGGGGTTTAATGGCCTACTTTTCTACACCAGAGAAGCTACGGTAAACCAACACAATCCATGCAGTGTGCTGTGGGCCCGGACAGCGTTGTTTTTGCCTATTGATCAAGGGTTCTTTTACGTGCGTGCCAACATGTACACCGAAGATTTTCGTCCAATCCGAGGCGCCGTTCCTTGCCTAGCCACTTGTAGGGGTTAAGCATGTTGACAAAAATCTTGAGGAACTTTCTCGGTCAACACCCTGATCGAACCGGGATCGTCTGGTTCGTGGGGCAGTGCCTTACTTACTAAGCCGTAGTGGCTCATTGAAAATCCGAGCACTGACCGTTAAGGTATTTTGTGCCATTCATAAGATAGTTTGTCCTACTCGAAAAATGACAGATAATATTTGTCTCAAAGTGTGCATATGCAAGTATTCTTTAGTTAAATAATGCCCAATCTAAAACTACTTTTGACCCAGGAACGGGGCCCCACACTCTGCTCATCTTCTTATTCTTATTTTTGTAACCGACGCTCTTTGAAGGGGCCTAATTCTTTGTCATTTCAACTTGATTTTAAGTACGATTGACAGGACACTTGGCATACTTGTTCCTTGCACATCGATTGGCGGATTTCAATTTTTGATATGCTCGGTTACTTGTCCATTATACCTTTTTAATTTTGTTTTACCAACGGACCCAAAGCCTTAATGCCACTTTAAGTATACGCAAACTGTAATTAAATTTTAAACTGACGAGAGCAACAGGTGAACTTGTATATTACAATTATTGAGCTATAAAACTTATACAAGTGCGAATAATTTATTACATGTATAGCATTGTCTTGCTTTATTCAAATGTATATCAACTATATAATGGCTTTCTCAGTTCACATAATTGGGGTCGAATTCTCTATATTTTCAACTAGTCTTGTGATGCAGAAATGCCGGGTTTCACAAGTGCCTTATTACATTTAAACGATGTAACTTACTGTACCAATGGCACTTGCATAAAGATATCCAGAAATATCAGTTAAATATGTATATTTATAGGAGAGGTCGGAAATGGAGTTCAGCAAACGACTCTTAACTTCCGATGTCGGGGGTATTTTAAAATACAGCACAACGATTTAGACCAATCTATTAAACCCGGTTAGCATACTTCGACACCCGGTCCCCACAATTCATAATTACTGTACTCGCAATTGTGTATATCGTATTATTTATCAGGCGTTCAAGTATTCCATACACAATTAAAGGTAGTCTTAAACAAATATTAAAGTCGACCAATCCCCACTAACTTATGGCCTTGTTCTTATTACTATTATGCTGCCATCCTAATTTCTTGGTAATTGTCTGTTCACGCCTGAATGATATCCAATTATATCCACGAATCTGGAGACCAAGATAGTATATGTATCTATATTACGTTGAGGCTTCTTTTTTTTTAACTTTAATCCTCTGAATTAATATTTAAAAGAAACAAATATCAAAATAACGAAAATGTTTATTAGTTTCCAGCCACGGTGTGCCTTGAAGAAACATGAACTATGATTTTGTCATGTCAGAATTTTCGTCATTTATCTTGACCATCAGCACCTTTCTATGGACTAAAATTATTGTAACCTCCCATTACTTGCCAGTTTCTTAATAGATCCGAGTACAAAATCATTAATCTAGGTATAGCGTTCTTAAAGTCTAATGTCTTCTTTCTTTTTATCACGCACAAATTACATTTTTACCATGATTTACAATATCTCTTAGATATTAATTGACATTATGAATTCGAAAATGTCCGAATTTTGACCATTAAATAACAACTTTTGACTATATTATTTATTAACACCAGACATATTCCATCTCGCATACTTTCTTTATATCCAATCATAGTTTCTATTAATCAACCTTTTCTGCTACCCATGGTAAAAATTCTCATTCTTAATATTGCACAATTTGAGTATTGTTTAATTCCATTCATTTTATTTTCTTTAATATGACTACAATCTTTAATTTCAAAAGAAAGTTCAGCAAACGGGCGCAGTAGCTCGCAGTATGAACCACCTATCTATCCTGTTCTCGAAGCACTGGTAACGAGTACCATGAGGTCAATAATCATTGGGCTTATAATGCTCAGAGAGACACACAGAGAGAGAGAGAGAGAGCATAGAATAATGGTTATAATGGTTGCATTCCCATATATACAATGGAAAGATTGGGAACTCGATCAAAAAGCACTTTCTGGTATTATCAGCTAGATTAAAATTTTAGATTATTTAGGTCATTGGTTAAAATTTATACTTTCCCAAGTAAGTTCATGGACTAAAAGTCATTCTGGGTCCGTTTAACACACCGGGTCAATTTGTCTTTTAGTTGAGAACCGGAGAATCTGAACTGTAAATTGATGAATTGTTAATTTGTGTTTTTCAGCGTGTAAATATGATAAAGGTAACTGGGGACCGTGTAATCCTGTAACTAATAAAATGGAAAGAACTTTATCTTTAAAGAAAGGCGACCCAGCCCAATGTGAAGCTACTAGAACTTTATCTAGATCGTGTGGACGAGCAGCGTTTACCGCTGGGCCAAGTAAGTATTATCAAATAACATGTGTCAGAATGGTCTAATGTGTGTGCTTTAGGTCATAAGGTCTGGTATTGAGTCAAATGACGTGGTTTCGTTTCCCAACTTGTATGTAAGAAGGGCTAGGGTCGCCTGTCTAACCTCGTGGGATTAATCCGGGACCCCCGATTTCCCCATATGCTAAAGACAGCTACGAATTATTGAAATAAGATCTAACCATATGTTAGTCCCGAAATGACCTACTTTGTGTCGAGTGGACATTAAACCCCATTTATCCCTCCCTTAGTTTCAACTCGCAAACTCATTTTGCACTGTATGCTTAATTGTACTTGGTTGTGGTTGAAAAATAATAAATAACAACAATCAATCGTTGTATTGAGAAAAAAGAAATTGACATGGAATGCCGATGCCAGACAGAACTATACAGCATCATTCTTAATCTAGAGACACGGAGGGCTAAACAATGGGGTCACTAATCTATTTCTTCACCGTAGATTGTAATTACAGACAATCTGATTTAAATTCGTTTCGTGCTATCATTTATTTTGTCCCAAAATAACACCTACCTGACATTTTCTTTGAAAAGCGGTGTTCAGTCCACTAGTCTGAAGGTTCTGTGTGTGTGTGGGGGGGGGGGGGGTAACGTTAAATGGGCACAAAACCAGACCCAACTTTTCTACAGTATTTTATTTGCGTAGAATACTGTGAAAGAGTGATTAGTTTCGATCATTTTCAGCATGTTTTCATTATACAAGAATGGCTGCGCTTCTATCCTCTAAACAAATGTTATTATTATATTTCAGCTTGTATTGTACCCTCGAACCAAATGTTATTTTATATTTCAGTTTGTACCCTCTATACAAATATCATTATATTTCATCTCGCTTATACCCTCTAAACAAATGTTATTATTATATTTCAGCTTGTATTGTACCCTCGAACCAAATGTTATTTTATATTTCAGTTTGTACCCTCTATACAAATATCATTATATTTCATCTCGCTTATACCCTCTAAACAAATGTTATTATTATATTTCAGCGTGTAAATATTCATTTGGTGAATGGAGTGATTGTAATCCTAGAACTAATACCATGACTCGAACATTAACACTTAAAGCTGGTAATGTCAACATGTGTCCTAGATCTAAAGATCTCAGTAGAAAATGTAGAAGTCGTAAGTTTCATTTTTAATTTCAAAACTCTAATTATTTAGTCCGAAATATCTGACCCTTTCCCGTGTCGGAATATAGTTTTATACCACACAAATGTCCGACTCTTTCGTTTGTCAGAATACAATTTTAGACCACACAAATGTCCGACGCTTTCGTTTGGCAGAATATAGTTTTAAACCACATAAATGTCCGACTCTTTCATTCAGTTTTCTTCAGTTTCCTTCAGAATATAGTTCAGAACGCACATTTAATGCTTGACTCTTTTCCTTTGCCAGAATATAGACTGCACAAAATCATAAGTAGCCTACTTTTATTTAAAAGATATATGTTCTAGATTTGTTTTAAATTAATCAAATTCAACAAGCTCATTTAAAGTTTACATTATTCATTAATTATTATTATTTATTGTTTTCAGGATGTAAATTTGTTAAAGGAGATTGGTCACCGTGCGACCCATCCACTAATCTAATGACCCGGATTGATATGTTAGGAAATGGGAATAATGCCTATTGTGAGAAATCCAGAACTATTTCTAAAAAATGTTTAAAAAACAAAAAAAGTAAGTTGAAATACGCTTTAAAGTGTCAATCTTTGTATTGTGCACCCAATACAATGGCCACCAATAAATAAATATAATTCTTTGCTATAGATTTCACTTTTACCGAACTTGATTACATTACCGCGGAGTGATACATCATTCATTTTTTGTCAGCAATTCAACCATTGCAAAGTCCTTTATATTGACCCAGTGTTTCCATCAAGGTGAATTAAATACAAATAGTTCATTTTTAATGAAACGAAAGAAGTTACATTTAATAAAAAAAAAAAGAACTGTTCTTTGAAATAAAAAAAAGTAGTTCCTTTTCAACTGACCAATCAAATTCATGTAAATCGATATCTCGTAGATTATGAAATTTATCACACAAGCGATATCTACTGTAGAATGTATTATTGGGTGATAAATACAAAATCTCACATTCGTCCAATTCATCAGGAACTTATAATTTCTACCTGGGATGTTACCAGTATGTAGTAGACAATCATTCTGAACATCAGAGACAACGTATATTAAAGTAGCTAAGTCTCTAACTCAATATCATCCAAATTCTTTGACATTGAAGACACAAACTATTTGTCTATTTAAATCAACATTGATGTTGTGATCTTACCGGAAAAGGGTGGGCTTCTGATATCCAATATTTAAGATAAAAAAACAACATTTTACCATTGGTACACGAATCGTGTACCATAATGCGTTTCAGCGTCATTTGTAACAAGGGGCTCGAAGAACGAGGCTAGACTTATTCCATAAGTCATGTTAAACGGTGACGCTATATTCTTATCTGGACCCCATGCGCAATAAATAATTTCGGTGTAGACTGGTGTAACCAGACTCTGGAAATAGCCATTCGATTGAGATTTCTGGCGTATTTCGCCGAACTTAACTGATTAGAAATTACAGTAAAAACAGAAATGATTGAATGTAAATCAGTTTATATACATTCATATTACATTATTATATGCGTTGTGACGCATTTGTGTCAATTTCTAGGTCCCAAACATTGGCGACTTAGCTCCTTTAAACAATGTGGATGAGTATCGCTTTGGACAATTAGTGTTTCCCAGGAAACTTACTGAAAGGACCAGTTATAATTTAGAGACCTGTGTCAGAAAGGAAAGGGAGTGCCCAGATCTAAATTGTAAGGCGCCATTGTGCTATTTATGGAATTATTTATAATTTATATTATGTAAAATAACCTTATCAAAACCACAGAGCATCGAGGCTGGCTGGTGCCCACTGACCCACGTTTTCAACTCCGCTCCGATCTAGAACGGGTTTGATACATTTAGTTTTGGTACATTTAGAGGCTTAGGCGTTGTCTGTCAGTAAAGCGTTGGCTGGCCCAGATTGCTACGAAATGACCCTTTTGATATAAATTCATAAGCCGGATGCATGTTTGAATACACTCCTATTTATTTATGTTATTTCTATTTTATTATTTAGAATGTAAATATGAATTGGGTGATTGGAGTGAATGTGATCCTATTACTAAATTTAGAACCAGAACAAAGAAATTAGTGAAGGGTGATCCCCAATCTTGTAAACCAGAACAATCATTGAAGAGATCATGTTTGAGATCTAACGGTAAAGGTGAGATCTACTTTCACTTTGGTAACCTCTCCATATTACCGAATTTTAATGGAGATTTATGAATGTTTCATATCGTTTGTAAATCTTGGATGTTTCTGAAAAACAAAATAAAAGATAGCGTGGAGCTTTATCTCAACTGCAACGTATCCGAGAGGAAGACTAGGGTGCTGAGCAAATTTGATGATGATCTAGGTTCCTTGAAGAAATCTAATCTCTAAGGTTCATCCTCGTATGACCTCACTGCTTCCAACCAAATTTATCATGTATCGCGTTCCCACGGCAGTGGGGTGAGGTGGGGCTAGCTCACTATTCGGATTATGAATATCGATGACCGCAATGCTCCAAGCCAAATATGTAAAAGATCCATTAAAAACTATAGCCTCTATCGCGTTCACAAGGTTTTTCGGAAAAGGCGGTATAACTCCAGAACGGAAAGTCGCTGAAAGCTGAATTTCGATAGGGTCCATCCTCTCATGATCCCAATGCTTTAAACCAAATGCTTCAACCCACATTAGGGGATTGGATGGCTGAATGGTTAGCGCCTATGCGTTGTATCATAAGTCTGTCGTTGAGTCAACTGGCTTGGTCTCGATTCCCCGGTTGCACAAGACAAGCAGTATGGGTCGCCTGAACATCCTAGTGGGTTTTCTCCGGGTCCTCCGGTTTTCTCCCACGAGGACGCGAATAACTGAAATAAAATTGAACCATATGTTAGTCTCGAAATGAACTGGTTTGTGTCGAGTGGACGTTAAACCCCATTTATCTCTCCCTTAGTTTCAACTCGCAAACTCATTTTGCACTATATGCTTAATTGTAGTTGATTGAGGTGGAAAAAGAATAAATAACAAGAATCTCTCTCTCTCTCCCTCTCTCTCTCTCTCTCTCTCTCTCTCTCTCTCTCACACACACACACACACACACACAACACACACACACCCACACACACCCAAACTAAATTACCCCAGAACGGAAAGTTAAGTTGAAAATCGATAGGATTCATTCTCTCATGACCCCAATGCTTACAAGGTTTTCTGCAAGGGGTGTGTAGGGTGGGGGGGCGTAACTCGTCCAATCCGTCAAAAACTTTAGCCTCTAGGCCAATTATTGTTGACGGACCGACGGACAGGGTGACGACATAAAACGCCCACACACTGAAATGTGGACGTATAAAAACCATACAAAAAATAAGTTATTCGTCCACTCGACTTTTTTTCTATTTTAGGGACTAGAGGCAGATAATTAAAGACCGTAGATCAATTAATATTTACCAATTCTAGTCACTAAAATAGAATAGAAAAATAACATAGGCCTAACCCATACGCCATGCAAGGAAATGTTGCCCGGACTGCGGCGCTACGCCCTACTCTGCATCGGACTCCAACAGCCAAGGGATCTTTTACGTGCACACCAACGTGTACACGGAACCAGACGTTTTGACAGAATTTTTTATCAAGCAATCGCGCAGTAATAAACAATGCAGTAATTTACTTCCATAATCTAATTCAAATTACTAAATGTCATTTCTTATTTGTTACAGAAAGATGTTTCTTCGGACCGTGGGGAGAATTTGGTAAATGTATGAATGGCGTTATGACGAAAAATCGACCAGTATTACAAGGAGGAACAATATGTGAAAGAAAAGCCGTCATTACAAAGGGGTGTAACTAAGTTATTTCAAGAGCGGTTTATTATTAGGGGAAGGGTGGGTGGTATATACAATGTAGAAAAAACAGGTTATAGCTATTATGGTGGACATTCCTATCCTGCTTGATCGATCCTGCCAAAACCTGAATTTTAACTGAAAATTTCCGCAATTTTGATTTAACGTTGCATTCGAATAATGTCGTATTGACGAGAATTGCGAGTTTCCAATGGAAACTGACGCGCGTATATGCGTCAATAGTCACAGTTTCATACTCAAAGGTTACTTAGACTCTCGAGTATGCCAATAAAGATATTTTCAAGTTGGAATCTTGTAACTACCGTCTATACGACTTAACAGACAATACGGGGAATCTGCATAATAAAACAGAGATAGAACAGACGATAGACAAACACAGTGAGTTCAAACCGTACAAATACAATTGCCGAACACAATATTGTTTAATATCTAATGAAATTAACCATAGAATTAGCTGAAGTTATGCCACCTTAAAAATTGTTTTGTTAGAAATAGACTGAGTAGGATAGGAATTGAATGTTAGTTCTATGATAGACGGGGAGGTGCGGGGGTGGATGGTCGAATGGTTAGCGCCTGCGTGCTGTATCATAAGGTCTGTCATTGACAAGGAGTAAGGCCGCCTGTCCAACCTTGTGGGTTTTTTCCGGGTCCTCCGGTTTCTCCCACTGCTAAAGACCCCTACGCGCAAGCGAATTATTGAAAATTGAACCATATGTTAGTGCCGAAATGACCTAGTTTGTGTCGTGTGGGCGTTAAAATGATTAGGATAGGAATTTGAATTAAGTCCCCAGTTAGCACTCAATTTTGTCATGTGGTTGTAAATTAAATTAGAATTGTCCAACACGATATTTTTCTTTTTTTTATATACAAAGTTTTGTGATAATGATACAAATATTTTCTGACGATGGAGATACGTCGGATTACCTGGGGAAAAACAGCATAAGGGGAGTAACTCTTGTTCTATAGTAGGGAGCAGACCACCACTGCATTACACATTATCTTTAATTCTTGTCTCTTTGCCGGTCTTTAACTTTTCTGCACATTTGGGTACACAGATAGAGGGAATAATTGGTGGTCTACCTCCATTAGAATTTGGTTTGTTTTATATATGGTGTTCATTTTTTTAATGTTGTTTTTATATAAAAAAATTATTATCGTAGTGCTTAATCAATCGGATTAAGATAAGATGTCATTTGCGTTTCGTTTTATTATTTGAACTTCATCGGAAAAATTAACGAAAGGAAATTGTAAATTAATTTGAAGTGTTTATACAGTGTGTGTCGAGAGAACTATTTTGATTTTAGGAGGGAATAAGGCTAGTCTTGGGCCCAATTATTAGTGTTGGGTATTACCTTAGCCCAATAACTGTTTAATACTGAGGGTCATTTCGACTGGGATTCTCCAGTTTGTGTCAAGCAATGATACAATATAAAACCCAGTCAACATCCCGCGTCCAATGAAATTTTGACTCAAGTCAAAAAGCCTTAATCATATTATGAGTACGAAGTTGGTCAACTGTTGGGTTTTTTTTTTAAAAAATATCAATATTTATTTCACTGTTTAAACTGCGTTCATTCGATTGTGAAAATTTGTTTGATTTGGGGTTATTAAAGTTACATGTATTTTTTATCCTTAAATTTTAGTTAGATTAAAAAGTGCAAAACCGCTTTGATTTAGTTCTGAAAGGGTCTTCGGGTGTTTTATTTTGTTTAACGATGAGACTTGATTCGATAACCTATTCAGCGCCAGACTGACGTATTAGATCAGACCATCCTGTCTTGTGTTCTCATGATTCAAGCACGGCCAAATGGACAATAAGCCCTCTAAATTCTAAACAGGAAGTGTTTATCTCATAAATATCCATTCCACTAAATTTTTATTTTGGAAGATTAACGGAAGTGGTTTTTTTTATCATATTTATCTTACTTTGATTGTCGACTGATGAACTCAATATCAGTTATATATCTCAACATTGGCTCTTTGTGAGACCTAAAACCGATAGCCGCTTCTCAAAACAAATTACAACAATTAAAATTGTATACTATTTTAATTGAATCAAAGAAGGCGTGTAATTTTAGTTCTAATCAACCATAATGTGATAGATGTACTATTTTTCCATATTCATTCAGCTCCCTTTTTAAGGCATATGTACCCCATTTTAAAGATATGTACTCTTTTTTTTTGAAGATATATATGTACCCTTTTTTTTTTGAAAGTATATGTACTCATTTTTTGAAAGTATATGTATTCCCTTTTGAGAATTTTTTACTCCATTTTTAAAGGATATATACCCCTTTTGAAGGATATGTACTTCTTTTTAAGGATATGTACTCCTCTTGCTGAGAATAACAAATTCTTTTTAAGGATATGTGGGCACTTTTAAAGATTGTATACATGTACTCATTTTCAAGGATATGCACGTATTTTTAAAGGATATGTACCTCACTTTAAAGGATATGGACTCCATGTTTGAGAATATGGACTCTTTTTAAAGGATTTGTACTCCATGTTTGAGAATACGTATTTCTTTTTAAGGATACTTACTCCTTTTCAAAAGATATGAACTCATTTTTGAATGATGTGTACTCCTTTTCAAGGATATGTACGTATTTTTAAAGGATATGTACCTCATTTTTAAAGGATATGGACTCCATTTTTGAAAATATGGACTCTTTTTAAAGGATTTATACTCCATTTTTGAGAATACATACTTCTTTTTAAGGATACGTACCCCCTTTTCAAAGGATATGTACTTCTTTTCAAAGGAAAAATGTTATCGTTTTCAAAGGATATGTAGCCCCTTTTAAAGAACATGTACCCCCTTTTGAAGGATATGTACTGCCATTTTTTAAAGGATATGTACTCCCTTTTGTAAAGAATTTATATACTCTTTTTTTTTTATTTGAAACGAGAATTTGTAGCATTATCCATGAAAATACCAATGCAATTCATTTTTCTCCAAAAACGACTACATTATGAAATATTAAAGTAAACGTGTAAATATTATTGTGAAATATATCTATGATGTAATTTACTTCATAGATAATGTTAGTATCAATTAGGTAACTGATATTATTAGTATAGTGTGCATTATATATTTATTACGTCATAGATATTATTGTGGTACGTGATCCTGTGTATTATGTCAGAGATAGTATGAATGGATTGTATTATATATCCATGACGTAATAGATATGTATATATCATACTATTATGTAATTGTATAGCAAAGACGCCAATAGTGTATAATGTGTATTGTATAATTTATGACGTCACATTATTAGTGTATATTAAGTGTAACATAATAACTATTACGCCATAAACTGTATTAGTAAGAAACACGTGCATTTTATACGTTATAGATTGTAGATTATTGTAGATCTGTTACGTCATAGATATAATGATTATATAATATGTATAATATTATACTATTAAGCCATAAATATATTATGATATAAATTCTATACTATAATGTGTATTGTGGATTTATTACGCGATATAGATATTGTAGTATATAATGTGTGTATTACGTCATATATATTATCCTTATAGCTTTATTATATATAAATAGTTGTGTGTTGTTTTACCGTCCTTATATTAACCATTTAACAGACATTTTAATATATTTTCAAGCATGGTTAATGTACAACTCTTTTATACTGACTGACCAAAACAATCGCTCGTTTTAGATTTAATGTTTTAGCGGTACTTCGTCACATAAGACATTTTGAGAACGCTTTTTGACACGGTTATATGCCCTCTTGTGCCGTCAAACGCGAGAATTTGTTGTTGTTTTTTTTTGTTTTTTGGGGGTTTTTTAAAATTATAGTGACAGGCGAATGTAACCAGAACAGGGCGTGCATAGGTTTCAAACTATATAAGGATACAATCTGAAATCGATTGGTAGGAGAATTTCCTAAGTGATAAATTAAAATTAACCCTTTTCAACAGCATTATTTTTCTTTTCATATAACCATGTCTACTGATTTTATTCATATATATATATAGTGATGTCGCTCATTCAGACTAATATAACTAGTATCATACAACGAAAAATAAGTTTCTAGTGCTTCATTCTCAAAAATATTAAAACGCTTTATTTATTGACGATATATTACAAAAAGCCCTTACCTAACTATTCCGGTTTATAAAATGAGCCTTGTAGAGCGAGACGAAATATGAAATGGTAAAATAAAAGTAGGAAGCTTATAGTCGGTATTCCCATATACTGTCTTCACAAAACGCAATTTGCAATCCATGTGACGGAAATGGAATGGAATGGGGTTTATTTAACGCCCTACTTTTCCGCACCAACTACATGGACATCGGTGCTACGGCCTACACGGTTCCTCGGTTTACCTGCACCACAAGGGGGAAACTGTGCCGGAAAATCCTGAAGAACTATCTCGACCAGCACCGGAAGTGAACCCAAGACCTCCTTGTTAGCGAGTCAGCTAAGTCAAAAGGGACTTGATGACCATAATCTGAATCCATATAGATGATTGTCAGGACATTTTGCGATATAAAGTGACTATTCGACATTTTGTTTGATATAGTTCTTGTAAACTTTTATATACAGGGTGTTACACCTCACCTACCATGGATTAAAAGGATTTTGTTTGTATGTGTATAATATGTATCGATGCATCTCAAGTGCAATAAAAATATATATTTGCTTCTTATCTCTATGTTCTGGTTATGACTGTGGGTTGGTAGGGCTAACGGACTATACCAGAACAGAATGTCGGCTAACAACGATGGCCTTCTTCAGCCGAGTTTTGATTGGCCATCGCTGTTTAAGTGTGAGAGAAATGAGGGTTAACATCCAGTCGACACAGATCAGATAATTGCGGAACTAACATATGGTACAAGATTACTTCAATGATTCGCTTGCTCATCGGGATCTTTAGCATTAGGGGGAAACCGGAGAACCCGGAGAAAACCAACGCTAAAGCTTGGGGTCGATTCCACGCCACTTGACCTTGTATAACACACACAAGGCCTACGCCAAAACAAAAAATGTTACTTGATAGATGACTGATCTCCCCAAGTAGACCAGAGTTTGTGAAACGCAAAGGGGGTTTAAGGTCTGACATGCGGCGCAATTAAGGGGCTAACGTTATTCCGATATCTGTCAGAGGATCTTTAACGTGCTGTCAATGGTATACACGGAATCTCAGTTTTTCGTCTCATCCGAAAGAGGAAACAGGGAGAGAGAGAGAGAGAGAAATTGGGTTTAACGTTCAATCGACACAAACCAAGTCATTTCGGGACCAACACATGGTTCAATTTTATTTCAATAATTCGCTTGCGTGTTGGGATCTTTAGCAATGGGAGGAAACCGGACGACCCGGAGAAAACCCACGAGGATGGACGTGCAACCGGGGAATCGAAACCACGCCAGTTGACGCAATGACTGACCGTATGATACAGCACGCACGTGCTAACCATTCGGACGCCCCCCCCCCACGCAAGAGGAAACAAGGCTGGTGGAAAAAATCCCGAAGTACTTACGAAGTACACCGATATAGAAACCGGGACCCTGTTATTGAGCCAGCACCATACCCCCGAGCCATTGTGACTGCCACAGACTGGTTTTGTTTTTTAGTGGACGTAAAGGTGTCGTCATAGTGCGGTCAATTAAGGGTGTAAAGATAGGGTCATCCACCAATACACTAGAAACGTATAAAGTTATTACTGGCTGGTTCCGTAATACCATTTGTCCACTTAAATCCAATTATTTGTATACGCCCACATGGAAATGTATTAAATTTATATGTAATATTTAGTAAAACGAAGAATCCTATTGAATTTCAGCAATTTCCGCTAATTACGTCTAGAGTTACGACCCCATGTTTCACTTTTTTAAACCCCTTTTGAACGCTCTGAAAACATTGTCCGATCTGTATTAAATTTATGTGCATTATTTAGTTTAGTAAAACAAAGAAGTCTATTGCATTTCAGCAATTTCTGTTGCTACAGCTGAACCTTGTGAACGCTCTAACATTCGATCTGTATGATATTACCCGCAAAAAAATAAATATACGACAACCCTTGTCGACTGCTCGAACAATTCAGCTGCCATGGGTGTACTCAATGACGTGGCGTGGGTTGGGTCAACGGCAAGATTGTCCTTGGCAAAAAAAAAATATATATAAAGTTGTGTCGATTATCTATGAATTTAAGACCTTAGGCGGGGGGGGGGGCGGGGGATTACACTATCGGTGGGCCAACATTTTCTGTTACAGACCTAGGAGCTAACCGATTATAATTAGCCTTTGTTGGGGTTGTCTTGGTCGAAATGTCGTACTTTCATGCCACAGCAAACTATAAAGATAATCTGGTCACCTTTAGCCATGGTCACCATTTTTTGTATACCCCATCTGTAAATTTATTCATTAGATGAACATTAGAACAAAACAAATATAAAGTAATGAGTGTCAGTAGAGATAAATGGAATGATAGTTCTGTATATGATATAGTGGGTCAGAGGTGGTAACGGATCTAAGAATCTGTAATAAAAGATAACTAAAATTGGACAAAAAATCCAATAGTTGACCGCCAGACTCCCTCTGTATATCGGGTGACCCAGAAAAATCGAGTACTCTAGTTCAAAATGTGATCTGTAGTAAAAAGGAGAAACTCAAAAGTAAAAGAGGTCATTCTTATCTATAAAAGGTATATTACTTTATAAAAGATATATAACTTTATGCATTTAACCAGAAAAACATCCGCCTTTTCAATTGAAATATTAAACTACTGTCAAAGTTTGGCTTTTGACTGTCGACATTCGTCTTCCGACTTTTTACTAAGATTTAACATCTTACTGAACCACCGCTGATCCCAAAGAAAACAAGACGAGACTAAAAGTTGTCTGTGAATATAAATATTAGCGGCTTCTGAAGTTATTTTCGTAATATGCCAGTTGGTAAAAGAAATTCTATTGGAGTAAGTATGTGTTTGGAAATCGTGAGTAGAAAGTCGGAAGACGAAAGTCAAAAGTTGGCAGCATCGATTCTGTAGATTTATAACGTTGAAAAGTTGGACGTTTTGCAGGATCAAGGCATAATGTTATGAGTTTTCACCACGAATGTATCACTTTTAGATAAGAAATTTATATTTTACTTTTGATCACTCATACTACACACAGAGATCCATCTACTTCATACGGAGGTAACTGTAGACAGGCAGTCAAGTTGATTACTATTTTTTATTATACCGTAGATCACATTTTGAACCTAATGCACGTTATCCAACAGTGGGGCCATTTACATTGCAATGTCATCTGTAATTAACAAAACAGATTTATCCTGTCACCTGATATCTGAGTCACTTGATAAAATGTTAATTATCATGCTGTACTTTTAGTTTGACCTTGAACGACAATTTGTTGTGTACAGAACCAAAATGCTAAATTTAAAATATTGTGTCCGGATTTTAAACATATAAACGTGCAATCTAACGAGAACATTGGTGTACCTGGGTCTTTTCACTATCAGCCGTCAGGTGGAATTATAATGATAATAATAATAATAATAATAATAAAAACTTTATTTAAAGAGGCAACCTATTAAGTTTGCAAAAAATAAATCCTAATCTTTCAACATCTTTATATCAAAAGGCAGATTGTTCCATAAAAGACGTGCGCAGAATAATGAAAAGTACGTTTCATGGGTTCCGTTTTTGAATTTTTGAAGGAAAAGAGATTTACTGGTCTGTGAACGGAGCAAGATATATGTTTTGGAAACAAGATATTTTTCAATCAAATAGGAGTTTAGATAAAGTGGAGTATTAAATGTCAAATTTTTGAATGATAAGACAATTTTATTATAAAGAATCCTCTGTGTAAGGGTAAGCCAACCGAGTTAAGTAAATAAAGAGGTGGACAGAATTTCACTTGGTGCATCAAGAATAATTCTTGCTGCCCCCTTTTGTAATTTTAAAAGAATGTCTAGTCTACTTTTGGTAGCATTCCCCCAAATAATAGAGCAATAATCAAATATTGGTAATATGTAACTATTATAAAACAAAATTCTTGTCTCGTAAGGTAAATGATCTTTTATCTTATTTAGGAGAAATACTTTTGATGCAAGTTTTTTTTAGACATATCTGCTATCTGTGCTTCCCAATTAAGGTCTTGGTCAATTTGAATTCCAAGTAATTTTGCGGTAGTAACCGTCTCAATTTTCTCACCATGGAGTGATAAAGTTAGGTTTTTCTGATTTCTTTTGCGTTTTGATGAAATCAGCATTGATTTTGTTTTCGAAGGATTGATTACCATCCCGTTGTTTTCACATCATTTAGCAACCAAATAGCGATCATTTTGGAGATTATTGGCAATGGATACATTATCTTTGTGTGAACAATGCAGGGTACTGTTATCAGCAAACAAATCTATCGGACTTGATTCAATATTGAGTGGGAGATCATTTATAAAAATAAGGAATAGGAGAGAACCCAGGATCGACCCTTGTGGAACCCCGCATTTGACTGTAGTAGTTGAGGGGGTAATTGATCCTAAACAGACTTTTTGCTTCCGTGAGTCAAGATAATTCAAAGGGAAGTAAGTCTTATCGGGTAAAGTAAGCAAAACGCAAAGGCTCCCCTTCAAGAGACAAGATTAGGAATGGGCCATACTATATACCGGAAAACACCGGAAAACAACCGGAAAACACCATTTTATACTGAATACCGGAAAACACCGGAAAAACACTAAATACCGGAAACATCCTAAATACCGGAAAACAACCTAAATAGGTAAACCGGAGCCTGGTCCTCTGTGTGCGGTTTTGGACCAAGTGAGAGCCGATGAAGGAAAGTCAAGGTTGTTTTTGTTTGTGAAATAGAGGACTCTAGCCGATGAGGCTACTTCCCCCCCCCCCCGAGAACCTCAGGCAACCAATTTGTTTTATGTACTACTATCGTAATAAAACATTACTATGTTAACCACTTCCTGGTGGCTGAAGACTTACATCGAATGCGTATTCGGAAAAAAATGTCCCCGAGAAAATGTTTTTTCAGACAATCGATATTCGAGATGTCTTCTGTTGCACAAATTATGGTGCACTGTGTAAGAACTTGCATCCTTTGATCTGAAGATTGTAGATGGAAAAGTATCATTTGCACTATTTCAAAGTAAACCTGCATTTTCGTATATCATCCCGTAATTTGTGATTAATGACAATGACTGTGGAAATAATATGGGTTGAGGAACGGAAGCTCTATGTTCGTCACGTGACTGGAAATTCCACCCCCGTCCCACCCTGACGATGATCCCTCCCGGAGCGGCGCGGCGCGGCGCGCTCTCTAAGAAAATCTCGGGCACAGTTTACTCTTCTAAGTTTTCCGGTAGCTATTTAGTAACCCGGAGTTTGGTCCTCGTGTGTGGTTTTTGACCAGGTGAGCGCTCACTTGGTCCAAAACCGCACACAAGGACCAGGCTCCGGGTTACCTATTTTGGGGTTTTCCTGTATTTAGTGTTTTTTCCGGTATTTAGTGTTCTTCCCGTGTTTTCCGGTATTCAGTATAAAATGGTGTTTTCCGGTTGTTTTCCGGTGTTTTCCGATTGTTTTCCGGTTGGTTTCCGGTGTTTTCCGGTATATAGTATTGCCGTTAGGAATTACCCAGAAGGTAGCTTAAATGTAAGAAGTCCAATTTATACTAAATTCGTATTTATTAACAG